ATAAAGAAAAGGGAGTGAGCCTTACAAAAGCCGAGGTAACTTCTTGTGGAGGAATGTTAAGGTTTTCATCTTGGGGGTGGAGCGGCGTTTCTGCCGTCACCTCAGGCTCGACCAGAGGTCTCTTCCTGAGATCGACTGTTGAAGGATCCGGTCGAGCAGTCGCCTCAACCAAGGGAGGAAGATTAACGGAAGTATTTTTGGTTGGTCGAGGGCGACTCGATAGCGGGATCTCGTCACCCTCATCACTCTCATCATCCTAAAATAAAAGCCTTTAGAATTGTAAACTTGGTAAAATGAAGAAGGGTCGTTAACGACATAGCCATACCTCTTCTAAGATTACCGTTGATTGTTTCTTCAGATGATTTATCCCGACGGGTGAGGTTGTCTTCTCCAGGACAGGCACAGCAGTTGGCCCCAGGACTATAGGTCCCTCGACCAGCGGAGCTGTCCCTAGATCAGCCACGACCCTAGGGACAGCTTGGGTTGCTTGGCAAGATGCCGTTGGCCGTTCTTCCGTTGGGGCCGGAACGACCCGGGCAGGGGGAGAGTTGCTTGTTGCGGTTGTCCTGGTAGTATGGCTGGAAATCACGTGGATCTTCCGTTCCCCTTTCATCGCCAATATCTTGATGCATTTTGAGGGTTAGGGAGCTTCGCCGGCCACTTCAGCTTCCGTGCGAGGTCGTTTGCCTTGTAAGGGTTGTACGGCTGTTTTACTCCTATTAGAAAGAGCATATTTCTTATTGGCCGCAGCTGCGGCGATCATGTCCGCTTTCTTCGACGACCGACCATCTGAGAAAACAAGATCACATTAGAAATGGGTAGTGATAATCGAAAAGAGAAATAGAAGAAAGGGTAGCCGTCTACCTCGGGTCGGTTCTTTGGATTGGGAGGCAGAGATTCTCCTTGGCCGATCATCGAAAATTTTGTCGGTGATGTTTTCGACCGCAACCACAAAGAAGACTCCAGTGTATTCTTCCCAACAGTCACCGAAGGTGTTTGTGCCGAGAGATTCAGGAAGAGTTGGTCAGAGGTGAAATGTTTTGCACCGATCCTGAAACTCTTTCTCGGAGTCTCTGCACTCTCTCTTCGATAAGCCAGAAAGGCGTTCTCGGCTGAAGAGAGAACAGGAAGTGAGTAGAGGGACCGGACAACCTTGAAGGTATCCAAGTTTTCGGGCCGTGAAATAGGGGTGGTAAACTTCCTAACTCGCTCGGCGAGGATCACAACCAAGGGGAAGGTCACGTGCTAGCACGATCGACCCCCAATTCTGGCGGAGGGCAGCATCTTCACTTTCATTCCAGGCTGATGATGGAAGCCTGATGGAGCAAGGGTGCTCTCGACGACGACACACTAAAAATTCGTCGTCGAAGATGACTTCTAGGCCAAAAAGGTACTTGAAGACTTCTTCGGCCTGGTGAAGAGGCGGCGACCGAGATGCCAACTGAAGGCCAAATGAGGTAGTAGGGTGAAAGGCAGAGATATCCGCCCGAAGTATGGTGAAATAGACTTGTAGCCAGAGTTGGAAGACCCAGAGGAGACCATTCTGGTTTGGGTCAACTTTTCCAATAGTCGCCTCGGCCAGGCAGTGGAGAAGGTTGGCGAGAACGGTCGAGCTAAGCGCCAGGGTGTGACCATTAGCCAGGGCCTCGGCCATCGGCATGTTCTCGACCAAACACTTGTTCGACCGGGTACAACAAATGAATTTGTTGTACCAGTAGAATAGAAAGGCTTCATGTTCTCCCTTTCTAAAACTTTCCTTGCCTCGGCCAACGAAGTAGAGGATGAGGATGTTGTAGTTGAAGAAGTTCTTGTGTAGCTTCTGAACCTCTTCTTTCGAAGGCCCTCGACCATCTCAACTCAATGTTTCGACGGCTCGATCTTCGAAGAGCGTCTTAAGGTCAAGATTTGACGGATGCCCAAAGAGAGCGGCATCTATTGGGATGCCAGATGGAGGAGTCCCAAGAATAGCCGAGACGTCAAAGATGGTAGGGCCGAGAGGGCCCAAAGGAAGGACTATGGTGTTGGTGGCCGAGCACCAGAGACTCAGCGCTGCCATGAGGAGTTCTTTATCCATGGTTAGCTCTATGGTCGAAAGCTTGATGGCATCATAGATACCAAGAGTCTTCCACTATTGGCTGAAGAAGTTTTCCATTTGGACGACCCAAGCCACCCAGTTGGCATTGGTCATGGGCTAGGCTCCTTGGGGCCTCGATAGGTCCCATTTTGACCAGTCGAACCCTTGCAACAAGGATGTCAGGCAGTGAGCCTTGAAGAGGGTGGTGATAGACGAAGGAACTACATCCTTAAAGAGTGGCCCCAATATTTGGTGGGTAGCGCTCAGGTCACCCTTGAAAAGCAGAGTTTTGATGGCGATCTGATCGATGAAGCTCTTGCATTTGCTGCATTTGTCGTTGAGCTTGGAAACGAAGGTGCTGGAAGTCATTTTGGAAAGCCTGGAAGGGTTTGGAAGAATGCTTGGGAGGATTTTTAGGGTAAGAGTTTGTTTTCTGGGATTTAGAAAGCAAAATGGCTGAGAAAGTCTTCGAAGGTTTTTGGAAACGTGAATGCAAATGAAGGAAATTCAGGTATTTATAGGCATTTTGGAAGGAAGATTAAACGTTTAGTATTCAGAAGCGCTAGATTTTTGAATTTAAAGGAAAAATCGACCGGGAAATGGCCAATCATTTCGGATATCTCGGGAATCTCCAAGGATATGATCGAGGTTTTCGGGGATTTAGGACACATGATTGCGTACGATGACGGATTTAATGCATTGATGAGGAAGAGACGTTTCGACAGGCGCACGTTTTCGAAGGCCATGATGGAGAGTTGTTAGGTTTATCGGAGATTCGACATGTGGCAGGACGTCGGGAATAACAAAGATCGTGCAATCATATTCCATAAATGTGCATGGTGATGGTTATCGAGAACAGTTAAGTCTAAAAAGCAAAAGATGCTTTTGTTTCTTCAAGGTCGAGATTCGACCAAAGGTTGGCAGTCGACGACCTCAGAAGCGAGGGGGCAATGTTTGGGCCCGAAATAATATTGTTGGGCCAAGTGTAGGTTTGTGCTCGGCCCAAAGCCGTTTCAAAAATACTATGGACTGTTTGGTGATCTCGGGCCATTCAGTAGGGATGGTCGAGTCCTATCACAAGAATGAGTAGTTCAGATAAGCGAAGGGGCCTATGAAGTCCTAGTGCAATTAGGATTCTCGACCAACAATGAATAAAGCCTTAAAAATGGGTGAGTTCAAAGTCCTAATGGAGGTAGGATTGGTCGAAGCAAAGTTGGAATGGAACAAGAAATCTCAATCCAGATATGATTTTAACTCGATCTTAAAAAGGAGTTTGTGCTATAAATATAAGACATTATGCAACAATTCGGGACCTCTAATTCAACACACAATTGCCCTGCGCAAAATGACACACCCCGTCCCGAAGGAGGGCATGCTGGCCGTCACGTGAGAGTGACGTAACCATTTACACAGTACGGAAGCTTTAAAATATACAATTTCTAAGATGAAACACCCAAAGGTGAGTCCTAATTTTTGGTCCATTCTGTCAGAACACCGTTGAATTTCCTCGTAGTCACCACACCTTTGCAATTCTTGAACCTGGAGGGGCGCAAAACAAAGTTGAGTGGGTCAGCAAAACAATTCTTTTCCAAATCCAAACACTTCTCAAAACTTTGTAACCCCTCGCCGTAAAACAAGTATAATTTCCCAGAAAATAAACATATATACGTATGCACAAATATGCCAAACATGCTCCAAAATATGCCATTCATGCTCGAGAATATGCCACATCAGAATCTCATAATAAATGTAAGTGCTCAAGCATAACTCATAACAATAATATATAATCTGGCAGCCGGGAGTCACCTAACGTGACCTGTACGGCTGCATATAGAGCTCCAATCTCAACTCAATAACTGAATCTGCACACGAGTCGGAACCACCTAACGTGGTCTGTACGACAGGACTGGGTGTATCATATACGCTCTAGTGCTACGATCACGTGAAGACTGTGCGAATAATCGCGGGTCACCTACGAGTCGGAACCACCTAATGTGGTCTGCACGACAAGGCTATGCACCTACTTGGATCCAAGGCGAGCGTGTGGTGCGGGTGAACATCACGTGAAGGACTCTGCCCCTCTCTGGGCGGGAGCACTAACACCGGGGGTGCAGATTATGAGCTCTCTAAGCATCTCAAACTACTACTGAAATACAAACATGAATACCACTTTCCTGGCACTTACCTGTGCGTCCACAACACCAAATACACATATATAAATGTATACCGCTACTAATGCATGTGATGATAGTATTTCAATCGTATTCCAAACGTATTTCATACGTATATCAAATGTATTTCAAATGTAGCTTACCTGGGCCTCCTCAACACCATGCAACAGTATGCATAATTATGGTAATGCACATATTAAAATGTGATGCATATATGACAGGATATTTAATTCGTATTTCTTTTAAAATACGTTTTCTGGGAAATACGTCAAGCATACATATATATATACTGAAAAGTAACTGCCCACTCACTGATCACATCGACGTCTATTAGGTCCTTGAGCCTTCCCTAGATTGGTTACATTCTTCTTCTGTATAATTTTCACCTATACAAACAGTAACCAACTTGACGTTATTTAACGCACATACACCAAACATTCGTCCATAACTTTTTCATACGTTGCTCAATTTGGGTGTATGAATATACCACGGTGATCTACACGACGTCACGAACGTGTGACAATTTTCAGAACTCAATTTGGAGCTCTCACGCTCCCCCACGCGCGCGTCTTCTTCCTCGCGTCGCCCACGCGCGCGTCTTCTTCCTCGCGTCGCCGGACTGGTTTCGCCGGCGGTGGGTGTTTTGCCGGAATTTCTGGGTAAACTTCAAAGTGTCATAACTTCTTCATTTCTTAACCATTTTCAACGTACTATATATCAAAATGAAGGTATTGACGAGACGAACACATCCATACCTGCCTCGACCCCTAACTCGCCGTGGATTCGCCGGAAAAAACCCCGAAAGCTCCGGCCAAACTTTGAACTTGTCATTCTCCTTGTTCTTACGTCCATTTTTCACGTAATCTATACCAAAATGAAGCCCTAATCATAATCTACCACGTTGGACTAGTTTTATGGCCTAAAAACAACGGAATCAAACTTTTCCAAAAATACGAAAATTCGGCCAAACTTACAGTTCGTGATCCCGACGTCCAAATCCTTCAAACGAAGCACTCCGAGCTTCCTTAGGACCTCACCAAGCTTCCTACAAGCTTCAAAATCCCAAAAACATCAAGTTTTGCGTGTGCATGAACAGTGCACACGCACAGTGAAATTGAAATCCATATTTTCCGAAGTGAAACTCACCTGAAATTGGTACCATCGTGTTCGTGTGGTCCTCAAGAGTACGATGGTGGTCTTAGATCCTTCGTTGGTATAGTTTTAGGGTGGTTTGTGGGTGGTCCGTGTGAGTTCGAAGGAGAGAGAGAGAACGGAGAGTGAATGAGAGATTTGTGAGGGAGGAGAGAGAGAGAGACAAGGTACGGGAATGAGGGAGAGATTTGAGGGAGGTGGGATCCTACCCAATCCCCAAATCATCAAGTTACAACATATTTTACGCCCCTTAGTCCCGTTTAAGGGCATTTTCATAACTTCACGTCCTCGGAATTAAAATTCTGGGACGGGTTGTGACAACCTTCCCTCCTTATAGAATTTCGTCCCCGAAATTCCAACAACCAACTTAATCATCTAAACTCATACAATAGCTTCGGATAAATCTCTCTCATCCGATTCTCCCACGTAATTTCTTCCACTGAATGCTTTCTTCACAAATTCTTTACCAATTACACTGTCTTAATTCTCAATACATTCTTTTTCCAATCCAAAGTCGTCTTTGGTTCCTCAACCAGTTTAATCCGGATTAATTCTCAACAGTTGCACCGGAACTCCATGTGACGAATCTGCCACCTAGTGACAACGCATCGAAATATAATACATTATGCACCTTAGCCAATTTTGAAGACATCACCACTTGTATGCAACTTTACCTACTCTTCGATGATCACATAAAGTCCGAGGTACTTAGGACTCAATTTGCTTTCCTTTTCAAGCCGAATCATACTTTTCTAAAGTGAAAACTTCAAAATTATAAGATCATCTACGTTAAACACTCGATTAGTGACATGTTCAACTATTAATCTCTTTTGCCATTCCTGGCTACTCTCAGGTTAAACTTAATCACCTGAATAATTTGAGAAGACTCATCCATAGTTTCAGGGCCTACCAAAACTCTTTCGTGATCGAATATTCTCTATCCAGAAGTATTTCTTCCACAAATCAACAAAAATCGACACATTTCATGGTCCTTATGGCGTTACTTTGGAAACTGTGCAACCAACATACTTAAGAAACTCAGCAGTTCCGTAACCCAAATCTCTTCTCCATAAAACATATAAGTACTGTTGCACTGTGGTTGTTACTCAACACTGGAGTAAATGTACTAACTTGGTACATTGATCAACTAACACTTCAAGTTCAATCATAACCATCCTATTCTCGAACTCAGCAATCTTTCTTTTTCCCTTCTTTCTTTACCTTGGTTAATTCTTAATTTTCGTCGTTAACCATTTGAGTCTTGAGTATGACCTTACTAAAAAGACTTAATTTGAAAATTAGCAATTACAACTTCTTCTCAATCTTTCATTCTCAACTTTACTTCAGTTGATTTCCAATCCACAAGAAGACAATCTTGGCAAGCGTGCCAGACATCAACTCTTACCGCAGTCTTCTCACCAAGTGCATCAGCTAGAACAATTTTACGATCACCCTGGTCGTACAATCATGTTTATTAAACAATTCAATCCACCTTCGCTGCCTCATATCAAAATCCTTCCAAGTAATGGATATTGGAGACTTTTTTTTTTTTTTTTTTTGGATTCGTAAAAATCTTGCATTCTTACCAAATATAATGTCTTCATAACTTCACAGCAAGAATGGTAATCATGACTTCCAAATCACCAGTAGGGTAATTCATTTCATGAGGTTCCTTTTGTCGTGAAACGTATGTAATCACCCTAACATTTGCATCAACATGCATCCAATACCATTCAAGAAACATCACTAAAAATTTATGATTACCACTATTCTCTGGGAATACTAAATTACGTGCATGAGTGAGGAAATACTTCAGTTGTTGAATCCTTTGCTCACAATTTCCTTCCCCCTCATACATAACCTCTTTTCTCAACAATCTCGTCAATGACAAAGCAATGACTGAAAAATCTTTCACAACCATCCAAGATAGTCTGGTAAGCTAAGAAATTCCGAATCTCAATTACGGCTCGTGGTTATTCCAATTTCTCAATTCCTGCTGCCTTTTAAAGATTCACTTGAATACCTTCAGCAGATATAGCAAATCTTAGAATGCCACTTGATTCATTTAACTTTAGCATTTGCTAAACTTAGCATACAACCAACGTTCTAACAATCTTTACTTAACCGACTTAATATGTTTACATGCTCTGCTCTGGCTCAGAATGTACCAGAATATCGTCCATGAAAATGATAACAATTTATCCATCAACTTATGAAACAGCGTGAGTATCCGCATAGCATCACCAAAATTTATAAAGACTATAACAAGTCCAGAAAACAATCTTAGGATCGACGTCGCTCAAAATCTTCAATTGGTAATGGACAGACTTCAAGTCGATCTTTGAAATTACTTAAATACCTCTGAGCTGATTCATTAAACATCAGTACACCATCATGGATAACGGTTCTCAATCGTTACCCGATTCTATGGTCTATAATCAAAGCACAGCCTTAACGTCCACTTTCTTTCTCACCAATAAACTGGGGTTCCCCCAACGTAATGTACTAGGTTGAATAAAAACCTTTATCAACCAATTTCCAATTCTCTTAGTTCAAAAGGCAACATTCTATAATATAAGGTTTGTACCTGGAGACAAATCAATAGTGAACTCTACATCTTTGACTGGCGGCAATCCAAGTAAATTCTCAGGGAAAACGTCAGGTAAATGTTTGACTACTCCCACTTCTTCCACACTACTAGAAGTGACATCACTTAGCACCACATGATATAAATATCCTTGGCAGCCTTTTGATAATAATCTCTTTGCTCTCACAGCATAAATAACGGCCTGCCTCACTCCACTTTGCATACTTACAAAAGTAATCTCTAGTCATCCAGACCGATGGAAAATAACATATAATCAATTCAACATTCGGCTATAAACATAGCTCATACTCTTTCATTCTAATCAACTCAGCCCTCGGCTGCATATATAACTCATAATTAACTCATCATAATCAACTCAGTCATCGACTGCATATATAGCTCATAATCAACTCATCATATCATGTATATCTTGCACACATTCAGTACCACCTCGCGTGGTCTGCAACTCATCACTGTATATAACATAATATGCTCTAGAATAACATCGAAATCCACAATCTAATGAAACAAAAATAGCTGGCAACAATACATACTCTACTATTACTGAGCACTCTAAATAAGTACGATACTAACATAGGATAACCTACCGGTTTACTTGCTTAACGAATCCACGAATAAGTTATTAATATTACGGTCTGCAGCCCGCAATACTGATAAATCATCGTTGTCTCGATAAGTAAGCAACAATTCCTGAAGGTGTTACATTTCCATCTTACTCCACACAGGGATAATTACATATAAACACCTCAATCATGCTCCATCATCACTTTCTTTGGCAACATCATTCATAATACGAAATACATCAGCCAGAGTCAACTAGAATGACTTGTACGGCTAATTCTCTAGCTCAACTATTTATGCTAGCATATTAGCCAGAGTTACCTATAGTAACCTGTACGACTTACTCATCAATTCCTCATGTGTCAGCCGGATCCACCTTTCGTGGTCTGTTCGGCTGAACATTCAACTTATCAAACATCTTGGCACCCACAGTTCATATAACCCAAACTAATGATCCAAACACCTGCTGGACTGATATTGGTGGTATCAAGGAAACTGTCGGGTAATAACTAATTCTAGGGACAATTCATAACTCTATATCCCTTCTGTCTATACAAACACATTCACTGATTCCACACTTTCCAAAGTGTTTAGTCTTGTACCTGCTGCACAAGGTACATTTCCCTTACTCGAGTCAGCTTGACTCTGAATCTGGAATTTCCAGTAAATCTATCACTTTGACTTTGACCAATGGCATTAAAACCTCAGTTGGAAGAATTAGCTCTAGCTTCACTTCCCTTGAAGCTCTGAATCTTTCTATATTCTTGATATGACGAATCATTAACTTTATCGTCCTCTTTTGATTCCCATTCTTTTATCATTCTTCTTTACTCTCGCTGAACATGTTCTCAGAGTCCTCAAAGCTCAACAACATCTTGTATACTTCTGGTAAGAATTACAATGGATAGTGGTCACCCAAAATACCACTGCCTTATGCCACCCAGCCTAAAACAATATAACACTTCAATCAAAATAGCAGCAATATTCGAATGGGACGAGGCAAGTCTGAGAACTTTCTATAATACTCATTGATCGTCAACTTTCCTTGTCTCACATTTGCAAACTCTTGCTTTCTACCATCATAAGATGCCGAAGGAATAATTCTTTTCTTTAAACAAGTCCTTAAACAATTCTCAATCGGCTGTTTCCTTCGGTGACAACGAATTATACTCCTGTTTCCACCAGGATACAAGTTCATAACTCAAACCAGGTAGTCGTCTCAACCCTTCTGTCAAAAGGAAGATTCCTTTGACTTGCATAATCTAAAACATCTTTTCCAATTGGTTAATCCATCACTTTGCTCCCTCAGGTTCATCATTTCATAAGGTGATTCAAATTCAACGCATAACCCATCTTAAAATGTCCCTTTTAGATAATATACTGAATCACCAAAATAATAGTTTCCCCTAACAGCTAAATCAGGGAGACTAAGTTCCTCTAACTACGTGGTTTGCTACGAGGCGGTGTAGTTCTGACAGAATTCACTAGAACTTCTCAAGATGTCCAAGATTGAAACTAGGCTCTGATACCAACTGACACACCCCGTCCCGAAGGAGGGCATGCTGGCCGTCACGTGAGAGTGACGTAACTATTTACACAATACGGAAGCTTTAAAATATACAATTTCTAAGATGAAACACCCAAAGGTGAGTCCTAATTTTTGGTCTATTCTGTCAGAACACCGTTGAATTTCCTCGTAGTCACCACACCTTTGCAATTCTTGAACCTGGAGGGGCGCAAAACAAAGTTGAGTGGGTCAGCAAAACAATTCTTTTCCAAATCCAAACACTTCTCAAAACTTTGTAACCCCTCGCCGTAAAACAAGTATAATTTCCCAGAAAATAAACATATATACGTATGCACAAATATGCCAAACATGCTCCAAAATATGCCATTCATGCTCGAGAATATGCCACATCAGAATCTCATAATAAATGTAAGTGCTCAAGCATAACTCATAACAATAATATATAATCTGGCAGCCGGGAGTCACCTAACGTGACCTGTACGGCTGCATATAGAGCTCCAATCTCAACTCAATAACTGAATCTGCACATGAGTCGGAACCACCTAACGTGGTCTGTACGACAGGACTGGGTGTATCATATACACTCTAGTGCTACGATCACGTGAAGACTGTGCGAATAATCGCGGGTCACCTACGAGTCGGAACCACCTAATGTGGTCTGCACGACAAGGCTATGCACCTACTTGGATCCAAGGCGAGCGTGTGG